ATGTATGTTTGTATAATGTATTAACATATGCATATATGTATGTGTGATATTTATGCATGTATAATTTATTAATGCATGTATATGTATGTATAATTTATTAATGCATGTATGATGCATGTGCGATATGTTATATGTATGTATGTAAGTATACTTTATTAATGCATGTATCATGCATGTATGTATAATTTATTAATGCATGTATCATATATGTAGTATGCATGCATTTTTGTTTGATATATATATATATATATATAATTTATTAATGCATGTCTCATAACTCATATGATCGGTACGTATTAATGTGTGATATGTCTGTATGGTGTATGCATATATGTATGCATATATCATGTTGTATTTATATATCTATGTAATATATTAATATGTATGTATGTATGTATAAGTTATTTCTTTAATGCATGTATCATGTATTTGTTACTTATTAGTCCTTAAAATTATATTTTTATTCGAAATTGACACAAAAATATTTATATTTTTGTAATTTACTCCGAACCCTATAAATCGCATCATAAACTTTATTTCAAATCCTATAAATTATATCATAATCTCCAACCCATATAAATTATATCATAATCTCTGAACTCTATAAACTTTTGTTCACCAAATTTTTAAAAGAATGCAATTTAGTCTATTTTAATATTAATTTTAGTTTTACATTTTACAATTGTTTCAATTTGGTCCCTTCATGTTCTTTAATTTATTTAAATTTCACTTTGTAATTTCATGTTTGATCAATTTAATCCTTAAAAGTATATTTTTTATATGAAATTATCCCATAATTATTTCTATTTTTGTATTTTACTCCAAACCCCGAAAATCACATCATAAACTTCATTTCAAACCTTATAAATTATATCACAATCTCTAAACCCTATAAACATTTCTTCACCAACTTTTAAAATTAAAGCAATTTAGTCCAATTTGATATTAATTTCATCTTTACATTTAACAATTGTTTCAATTTAATCCCTGCGCGTTGTTTAATTTATTTAAATTTCAGTTTGTAATTTCATGTTTGTTCAATTATTCTTTAAAATTATATTTCTATCAAAATAAACCCATAATTATTTTTATTTTTTGTAATTTACTCTAAATCATATAAAATTACAAATTACAATTCGATATTCATGAAAGGCGAAAAATAATTAACCCAAAAATGACTCGACCTGAAGTCAATCCGTATCCGGTAAGATTCGACTTGAATTTTGTCTATCAATGATGTGACCTGATCTAAACAATATCCAACTAAAGTACATCCGAACCTGAATTAACATGGTATTTAACTGCTTCGGACCTGAACTGTTTTAACCTGAAATGACATCGATCCAAACTGCAATTAACCCGACCTGAATATGATGTCAAATCAATCTAAAAAATGACCCGAATTGATTTGACATGAATCCGACGTGATTCGAGTCAAACTAATAAATTGATATGACTAAACATATATCCGATTAGGCTTGGCTTGACTTGACCGGATTTAACTAAAACCTGAACGATTACGTGATTTTACAACCATATTCCATGTATAACTTAGACCGAAAGGCTTGTAGAGACATGTCTCCTAAAACATAATAATCACTATTTATATCTCCTAAAACATAATAATCACTATTTATATTTAATTTTTTAATGTTTCATCCTATATCCGTTTCTATTTTATTTTCTAAATAATTCCAATTCCTATAGTTTGAAAATGTATCACGATGAATTGACAACTTTTTTAACTAACTTTTTTTTGGATTTGCGAAAAATGACCAACAAATTCACAACGAGAACTCCAATTTCGCAACACAGGTTTCAAAATCAGAACGCAAATATGTAAATCGCAACGCGGGTTTCCAAAATCGCAACGCCATTTTTCAAATTCGTAACGCGATTTTCCAAATTCGTAACGCGAATATGTAAATCGCAATGCTGTTTACCGATGTAGGTAACCAGTACTATCTCAACGCGATTTTCAAATTCACAACGAGATTTTCAAATTCGTAACGCTATTTACTGATATAGGTAAACAGTACTATCGCAACGCGATTTACAAATTCGCAACGAGATTTTCAAATTCGCAACGCTACTTACCGATATAGGTAAACAGTATTATCGCAACGCGATTTACAAATTCGCAACGCGATTTTCAAATTCGCTACGCTAATTACTTATATCGCAACGCGATTTACAAATTCGCAACGCTAATTACCGATATAGGTAAACAATACTATCACAACGCGATTTACAAATTTGCAACGAGATTTTCAAATTCGCAACGCTAATTACCGATATAGGTAAATAGTACTATCACAACGCGATTTACAAATTCGCAACGTGATTTTCAAATTCGCTACGCTAATTACCGATATAGGTAAACAGTGTTGCGAAAATTTGTTGCGAAAATAAACGCGCTTTACGAATTTGACTTTCGCGTTGCGAATTTGACTTTTGTGTTGCGAATTTGAAATTCAGTGTTGCGAATTTGACTATCGCGTTGCGAATTTGACTTCTGTGTTGCGATTTACAGATTCGCGTTGCGAATTTGACTTTTGTGTTGTGAATTTGACTTCTGTGTTGCGATTTACAAATTCGCGTTGCGAATTTAGAAACTGGGTTACGAAATTGGAGTTCCCGTTGCGAATTTGTTGGTCATTTTTGTAAATCTAAAAAAATTGATTAAAATTGTATATTATAAGGCATTTTCGATCACTAAGATTATTTTCTCTTTTATTTTTTCTTTTTCTTTAAACTGAGGCCTTACTATTTGACGAATCACTTGCGGCAACAACGTGAGAATATGATAAAGCATCTCTTACCGAACCAAGCACAGTCGAAACAGCATCTTCCAGTTTCTTCCAGCTTGTCCGTGTTCGAGGAGCAGTTGATGCAGCAGATTATTTACCGACATATTCAACAGCATCCGTAGGTAAAGAGGACTCAAATCCATGCCAAAAACTACTAACTTCTTAGGAGTGATCTGTGTCCAAAAGATAACAAAGACAAAGGTGAGAATATCGAGTCTGCTTCTAGGCTTGTCCAGAGGTTAAGCAGTTACAAATGTCAAATCACAAGAACAACCAGAAACTGACGAAACTGTAAAGCCGAAAAGGTGGTCGATTGTGCGTTGGGGTCGCCGGTTAATGATTATCTAACGTAAGCTCTCCTTTTATTCTTGGAGGCTCCCTAATCACCCCACGTGTCCTATCCATAAATTTATTGGGGTTTATATGAGGAAAATAATTTAATTTGAGTTCGATAAATTTTACTTTGATATAATTTGATACCATCGTTTAAAAAAATATTTATTTATTATTATTTTTAATATATTTGGGATAAATATAATGTAACATCGATTTAAATACTCTAAATCAATTAACTATGAACGTTCATATCCATGTCAATACACGAATTTATGACCTCTAGGGAAAATAATAAGTCCCTTAACTATCGATGTCAATTAGTTCCTGCTAAAAAATATATATTAGGTTGAGTCAGGTAAGATTTTGTAGAGATTGAGATTGAGTTCAAGTTTAAGATAATTTTTTTATTTGACTTAACTCGAAGTAATAATATAATTTTTCTATAAATTTAAGAATAATTACTATAACTCTTTTTATATATAGTTTTTCTTTTAATTAGATCTTATTTTAATGAATAGAAATGTTTTCTATATATTTATGTTGAGTTAAATCATATGTGGATTTTTATCTCAAAATTTAGGGGTCGTTTGTTTACTGCTGAATGGAACCATTCAACGCTGAATGGAGCCATTCAACGCTGAATGATGAACGGTTCAATATTCAACGTGTTTGATTCTCACATCTGAATGAATACTATGCTGAATGATTCAGCATTAAAATACATTCTGAATCATTAAGCACCCGATATTTTACCATAATACCTATTTTTCACATGTTGTCTTATTAAACAATCATATCTTATAATATAATAAATCATTATGAAGGTAAAAATGAAAATATTCATAATTCAGACTGTACATTCAGAACCATTATCAAACATCATGTCACATTCAGAGTCAATTCATACAGAGCCTTTGAATCATTCAAGCCATTGAGTTATTCAACACTTAATCATTTTATTTTATCAAACAACCCCTTAGATTCTAGTGAAGGGAATATACTTCTTGGATCGAGTAGGATTGAGTCAAATTTATATGGAATGAGTATGCTTCTCAAGTCTGATCGGGTTGATGAAAAACTCAACCTGTTATTATATGTCATTTTGCCCTTTTACTCTTGTTAGATTATGTTTGATGATAAGATCAAATATTATTACTATTACGATCACGTTCATAAAATATAAATCATATTATAAAAGTATAAAAAAAAATATTTTATACGAATTAATTTAGACCGAATTCAATCTCATATAAAATTGACTTGACTACTAAATTAATTTTTTATTAATCTATGATACATAAAAGATAATATTTATTTAAAGATAACTCTTGACCTTTTTTTACATTGAAAACTCACACTTTTAATATTCATAGTCTTCGAATTTGAGATCTCAAATAATAATAATAATTCTTTTATTATCATTGTTGCTTAATTGATGCGATCACTCAACTAATTAATGGATAAAATATGCACATATGATATAAAGCAACCACTAAAAAGTTGTATCCATGAAAATGAAACCAAACATGCCTGTAGCTCTCGTCTTCACTTCGATTAAAGAAAGAAAACGACGTTACCAAACACGAAGTAAAACGAACACTTCCCCTCAATCTGTGTCGTGTAAAACAGGCGTAGCCCAAAGATACACTAGCACAGAAAACAATCAAACAGAAAACAATCAAAGAGCAACTCACCCAAAAGCTCAAAGGCCAAAGCCTAAACCTCTCTCATCACTTCTAACTCGTGTTTAACTCACGGGACTCGCAACAAAAAACCCGGGGGGGGGGGGAGCTCCCTTGTAAACTCATTTGTCTTCCATGTATCACATGACTCACAAAAAAACCAGTGGCTTTTGATCCGAAAAGGAAGAGAAAAAGGGCAAAAGAAATAAATGGAGACAAGCACGTCAACAGCAGGAACCCTTCCAAAGAAGAAAAGTGAAAAGATTCTAGACGGTTCGGATATAATGGAGTTGGTTGAGAACAAGGAGGTGTTTACCAGTTTCGTGGATCATAAGTTCAATGAGCTCGATAAGGATAGCGATGGTCAGCTCTCTGTGAAAGAGTTACAGCCTGCCGTTGCTGATATTGGTGCTGCTCTTGGCTTGCCTGCTCAGGGTTCTTCTCCTGATTCTGACCATATTTACTCAGAGGTTTCTCTCTCTTTTACCTACAAGCTAAAGCATGTTAACATGTTACATGTTCAGGGTTCAGGGTTTTTAAAGAAAATATGTTTTCTTTCAGGTTTTGAATGAATTCACTCGAGGAAAGCAAGAAAGAGTGAGCAAGTCGGTGTTCAAAGAGGTTCTTTCGGATATTTTACTAGGCATGGCCGCTGGTTTGAAGCGGGACCCTATCGTTATCCTCCGCATCGATGGCGAAGACCTGTCGGAGTTCATTAATGGCCCGAGTTATGAAGCAGAGATGGTGTCCATATTTCAACAGATTGTGTCGGATGATGCCATATCGCTGCAGGATTGCATCGTTAACGCTTTCGAGAAACTTACTGTCGATCACGGCGTGCCTCCCTGTTCGGATTCTTGGGTAATTTACTTTCCACATGGATATATAGTTCAATCTTCAATCTGTAATGTTAAGAAATGGCTTGTGTTTGCTTGTGTAGGTTATCAGCAACATTATAGAACCGGCTCTGCAATCATGGTCGGATGACAATGATGTCGAGAAACTTGTCTCGCAAGAAACATTCCTCGAAGCATTTAAGAAAGTCGCAGAGCGTGTGGCCAAAAATCTCAAAGAGAAACCGGTAATCGTCGCCCATAGCGAAAGCACCTTCGATGGAAGTGGCATTAAAAGACTACTATCCAACAAGTTTGAACTAGACAAGGTATATGCTCCATTGCTCCTCTTGTAGTCTCCCCTGTACTGTGTATGTTGGACTTATCAAGGAATGCATTTTTGCAATTTCAGTCACTGAATATAGCTTTGAACAACGTTCCAAAAGATCGCAACAGCAAAATGTCGAAAGAGTATTTACGAGCGGTGCTCGAAGTAGTTGCTCCATCGGCCGGTTTACCTCCAATCGGTGCAGTCGAACAGGTAATGCAACAACATATATATTGGCACATACAGGATACATCTCCAAGTTGATTAACATAGGCTGTTATACAAACATGCAAAATTGCAACTATAGGCCTATGTCATTCCTCTTAAACCAAAGTTGTTGAAATTTCTCCAGATCGACAAGGTTGTTGCTGATGCTTTCGACATGGTAAATGCGAACCACTGGAAGATGGTTAAAGAAGACGAGTTCAAGAAACTATTGACAGAGATCTTGGGGAGCATCATGCTGCAGTTAGAGGGCAATCCCATCTCGATATCTTCGAATTCCGTTGTTCATGAACCCCTTGCATCGTCATCGTCGCTGCTGCAGCCATCATCCTAGTTGCATACCGGAGACATCTCTCTCTATATATGTATCAGGGGTGACAAAATAAGGAGGGACAATAAATTTTGGTTAATTTTAAGTGAACTTCCAGTAGATTAAGTTGATTTATGTGCAGTTCAGTGGTGTGTGTTGTGCTAATGATGTGTATTACCATAACTTATGCATGCAAACACAGAGAAAGCAAGACTTTTCACAGCCTTTTTCAGCCCCAAAGTCAAAATTAAATTGGTTTTGGGTTCGGATTTTGTCAAATTCGATTCTTTTCGGAATTTAAATTATTTAAAACGATAAAGAAACAGAAAAAAAGGATACCAGAAACATGACCACGTGTGAAATATTGGAGGGTCCTAGATTGTTGGAGTTAAGCCGAAATCTGCAGATTAAGACAATGTTTTGAGTTTAAAGTAAAAGTTTTGTATTTTTTTTCACTTTTGATAAAGCGTGAAAATTTTGTTATTCTACAAATAAAAACCATTTTAAAATTAAAAGAAATTTTGAAATCTTTTTTTATTCATTAATGTTTGGTATTTTTTTTAAAATCCGAACAATAAAAAAGTTGAGAAGGACGAAAATAATATTTTTAAATTTTTTGATGATTGAATAATAAAGATTATAGATTAGACCAGCGAAAGATCGATTTTAATATTAATTACATTGTAAACAATAATTTAATGGAAGAAAAGAATTTCAGCCATGAAAAAAACATTAAAATATTAAATTAATTTCATATATAAAGCTACCCAACATACAACGTTTTGATATTTTCATTACACAGATAATGGAAGAGTGATCCAAAAAATAAGGGTGTAGTACATAAATAGTTCATCGATTATATGATATTATTTTATTGAGTTTCTTAATTATTAAAAGTTATAAAATGATCTCCTAATTATAGGGAGTTGACTTGTTGAATACCTCGACTATTAAAAGTTATAAAATTATCACCCGACTATTCATTATGCTTTAAAGTAATCATTTTCCTTTAAGAATTTGATGGTAGTCTCAGTTAGATGTTAACTTGCTGATTGAGATATGGTAAAATCCGATCTCATAATCTCAAAAGACTATCATATCTCAACCAGCATGTTAACATCAAGCTCATATGATCGTCAAATTCTTAATGTAAAAGGACTAGTTTGGAACATAATGAATGGTCATTTTATAACTTTTATTAATCAAGGACTCAACAAAGCAACTCCTATTAATATAGGGATTATTTTGTAACTTTTAATAGTTAATGGACTCAATATAACAGTCTCCTATAGTTGGAGGACCATTTGTATACTTTATCCAAAAAATAAATATAGAAAGTTAGATGACAAAATAAAAAAAAATAAAGTTGGATAATCAAAATGGAATCACAGTAAAATTTGAGCGGACTAAATGCGTAATTTAGGCTTAATAAAACCTAATGATTAAATAAAATATCAACACACATGTGTGGCCATCAGATTAAGAAACACTCGCGGACCCCATTCGAGCAACGGCTGAAAATTTTCCAGTGGTGTTGCATCGTCAACAAAATACCAGGAATCCCATGGTGAGGGCAAAGGCAACGGCGAAGGCAAAGCAAGGGAGATAAAGAGATAAAGGAAAGGGTTTCAAAGGAACAACTATGGCTCCTCATGGTGAGGGATCGGATGCTTCAGTGGATCCCATGGTTGCTCAAGTCGAAAAACATCCAATTTCATCCATCCTTATCATCATTGGTAAAAAAACCCTCTTTCTATCTTTCTTTAGTTTTCCATATTTACGTTTAATTTATATTTTGATGCTTATTGGGTTTTGGTTTATGTTTTCAATTCAGCTATGCAAACAGAAGCTTTGCCGGTGGTGAATAAGTTCCAGCTGGTTGAAAACCCTCACTCTCCGTGAGTTCCTCTTCCTCTTTTGCTATTTACATTAATTTTTTGTTAAAGTTTGTTTCTTGGAAGCCCTTAAAGTCTATTAATTTGATATTGGGTTAATCTTTTAATCATCGATATTTTCGATACTTTAGTGTGTGTGTATTTGGTGTTTGGTTTAGATTCAATATTGGCAATGTTGCAGGTTTCCAGAAGGGGTCCCTTGGGTCCATTATCATGGTACATACAAGGACATTACGATAAATCTAGTTTGGCCTGGAAAAGATTTGACCTTGGGTATGTACTTTCTTTCGAATAACACTGTAAAAAGAGATTGCTATGAAACTTTGCATCTTATTCATAGACTCCAAATGTAGCATCAGTTACAGGAAAATGCTTAACTTTATTGGCAAGTAACTGAGTCAGTTGCGCGAGACATGCTTACATCTACCATGTAGGTAGTGGAGATGTCAACAATCAGAAGCTTCTTCCATTCGCTATTCCATTTTGTTAAAGTGTGTGATTAATTCTTTACAGGGGTTGATAGTGTTGGCACAGTTTCTGCCTCTCTTGTGACCTATGCATCAATCCAGGCATTGCAGCCGGACCTGATCATAAATGCAGGCACTGCCGGTGGTTTTAAGGTCACAGTACCAATGATTCTTAGCTATATTTCTGTTAGATAGACGTTGCTTACATCGATTTTGTTTTGTATCTCTATGCTAAATATTTTGTGTATTTATTCTTGGATTCTTCCAGGCAAGGGGAGCAGGGATTGGTGATGTTTTTCTCGCATCTCATGTTGCATTTCACGATAGAAGAATACCGATCCCAGTGAGTAATATCAGCCCTTACTCTTCGATGATTTCTTACTCTTCGATGAATTTACTTCTCATTCAATGATTTGTGAAGGCTGACAACACCGGATCACACATTTTCTAATGTCATCATGAACCTAGTTTGTGCATTGCTGAGCAGTTTTATTTCCAGTTCTTGTTCGTGATATTTAATGATTTATCAGTAACTAATTTTTGTTTCTTCCATAGGTTTTTGATCTATTTGGCATTGGTTCGCGGCAGACCTTCTCAACACCGAATCTCTTGAAAGCACTTAATTTGAAGGTAAAATTATTTTGTTTGTTTTCCTCTTTGTCCGGCGAGTGAGCTGGTTTGTCGTCCATGTTTTGAACTTCTGTATTTTCTGCTAACATTGAGCTTCTAAAATCCCTTTTCATTTCTTTCAATCTACATATCTTTCCCTTAGAATTGCTTGTTGGTCGGTCAAGACTATTGTTTATCATTCCTAGATGCCTCATTAGCGAATGAAATGTTTGCACCTACATTTTCTTTGTTAAGGGACACAACAAGGGCAATTTCCATTATACTTTTCTCTGTTTCAGGCCGGCAAATTATCCACGGGCGATTCATTGGATATGACCCCTCGGGATGAAGAGTCAATCGCAGCAAATGATGCTACCGTCAAAGATATGGAGGTAATTACCGGAACACCCCATCTGTTAATAGAGAAATCTCAAAAATGGATCACATCACCCTTGTGAAACCGCACATGCTAACTCGAAAGAGACGCTTTTTGTACTTCAAAACGGCGAAGTTTGCTGCCTCATTTTTTTCTCCTGTTATTTTGTTTCAGGGAGCAGCTGTAGCTTATGTTGCAGATCTTTTGAAAGTTCCTGCAATATTTGTTAAAGCGGTGACGGATATAGTCGACGGTGAAAAACCGACTGCTGAGGAATTCCTGCAGAATTTGGCTGCAGTGACCGCTGCCCTCAATGAAGCAGTTGCTCAAATTGTCGATTTCATCTGCGGAAAGTGCTTGCCTGAACTTTGATTAATTTTGTCCTGTTATCAGTCTCTCAGTCTGAAATATATACGTGTGACAATAGAACTTATAATCCTTACATCCATAGGATGCGAACATGGATGAGATGAGTGTTATTTAAAGATCAAAACAACAACAATTTATAGTTTGGTCAGTACGGTGTTTTGAATAAAATTATAATATTTTATTAAATCAAACAGAGATTAATAAAAATTTATATACATATCCACCTATGATTATGCGTTTTATAGAATTTTACAATTTATTTTTACATAAAATGATTTTTTTTTTCTACATAATCTAAAGCCTGAATAGGTAAAATGCTTAGATTCTAACATGGGTGGCCTGAATTCATCTGTCCCAGCTTATTCTAATAATTTAAGCATTTCACACAAAAAATTAACTCTTCTATGAAATCTCTTACATATAAATAACAATCCAAAAGTTTCAGCCATCAAAGTATACAATCCACTGATATCGAGTCGAAAGAAATGTGTCGAGAGCCGAAAAACAAGAACTTAAACAAGGACAACTTGACACTTTTTGTAACCAATTTATACTTCTTTCAGTCAGCAAGCTCGTCGACAACCAGAAAATGGGAACTTAGCTTATACCACTCCAGAGGGAAGACGGAGGACAAGCTGGCCTCCGAATACACTGCCCACAAATGATTCTATAAGTAAACATTAATGATGTTTAGCTTGTACCATATACTATAAAGGTTGTAACAGACCTCTTGATATAATAGTAACAGAAGTCTGCTAAAATGAAAGTTTGGACGATTTCGGATATAAGAACCATAGAAGGCCACAATCCATAGCCTAGGGCTACCAGCAAGCGTCCGCTGCTGTCTAAAACCTGTTGAAAGTCGTAGAGAAATGAATTAATATCTTAATGCAATCAATCACCGTTATAATAAATCAAAATAACACTTCCCACAACCACCGTCATCATACAAAGGTTTCACCCCAACATGCTTATGTTCAATGTTGCCTGGATTCTTCATTTTTTCTAGAAGTACCTGTGTCAAATGCATAACCGTATCCGACACGAGCACTCTAGAGTTCGAGTAACATAGCTTATGCTAACACCCAATATCATTGATTGACATTTAGAAGCAATAAGCTGACAGACAAAATGGCATCCAGTTCGAACTTCAGGACCATACATCAAGCATGCTCAAGCTGCCTATTATTTCCTAAGTGGATAAATTTTACAAAAAAAGTACTCAAAGTGGGTCTAGATTTCGCATTGCTAAACATCAATAACAATTTAACCAAAACCAGCCACGTACGACTTCTCATCAAAAGATCTAACCTGGAGAACCCAGTGGGCACAGCTGAGGAACCTTGCAACACCCAATGCAAATACATAATGAGCAGTGAAAGGCTCAACAATCTGCATGCACAAGAAGACGAGTTACAGAAGGACTCGTATAAACCTTCTAAATTGAATCTATTATTTAAGTAAATCCATAC